ACCCAGTCAGAGAAGAGCTTGTTGACATATCCGGTTGCATCAGATTTTATTTTTATGAAGGTTTTTGTGATTTTATTCACGCGAGTGATGCAAAAACATTCCGCATGTAATCTAGAGCAAGTAACGCGGTGAAAATATTCGCTTTGCTTTTGGTGTGCACACACCATAACAATGGACTAGTGAGTAGATGAGTCTTCCTGTTCATTGTTTTCAAGTTTAACATATTTGACAACATCTGAAGTGTCATTTAGCTACTTGTTAAGAATGCCTTTTTCAATAAAAGTAGAAGCTTTAAAAAAATCACAAGGGAGTATTACTGATGTATTTTATGTCATAGAACAAAGCATGAGCATATCTTGCGCTTGTGTTAACCATTCAGGCATTTAACCAAAATCCATTAAAAAAAATGGAAGTGCTAAAATGCTAACTCATTTCTGGGTTTTGGCTTGCAAAAAATACATCACCCATGCAGCACTCTATTTACATTATGAAGTAAATTTGTCTCATTGTAAGTCATTTCAAAATTGTCATTTTCAGGCCTGTAAAAAGGATTGGAAATTTCGATAATGAACATAAATATGAATAGGCTATAAAGTGATCTTTGTGACTGCTTCTTAAAAATCCTTATCCATCATGATTCACTTGAAAAATCATGGGAAAATTATGGAAATGCATAATGGCTGGTTAGCACGGGAGAGAAGATGCTATAACTATACATTCTGGGGCAAATATATATATATATATATATATGACCCTGGACCACAAAACCAGTCATAAGGGTAAATTTTTCGAAATTAAGATTTATACATCACCTGACAGCTTAATAAATAAGCTTTCCATTGATGTATGGTTTGTTAGGATAGGGCAATATTTGGCCGAGATACAACTATTTGAAAATCTTGAATATGAGGGTGCAAAAAAATCAAAATATTGAGAAAATCATCTAAGTTCTTAGCAATGCATATTACTAATCAAAAATTACGTTTTAATATATTTACAGTAGGGAATTTACAAAATATATTAATGGAACATGATCTTTACTTAATATCCTAATGATTTTTGGCATTAAAAAAAATCTATAATTTTAACCCATACAATGTATTTTTGGCTATTGCTACAAATATACCCCAGTGACTTAAGACTGGTTTTCACATATATATACATATATATATATATATATATATAAGAAATTTCAATTAAATTGTGGGGCCATCAATTAATCAACACTGTCATTACACCATTTTCCTTCTTCAGAGTAATTAGCCTCATAAAGTTTCATGCCTATGAGCAAAAATTTCAAATTAACGTGTACTTCCATCGCTGAGATGAGTGGGAATGCTGACAGACAACTTTCACTCGACTGAGTAGTTATGTGATGCCACTTGGAGATAGTTAGACCAGCTTGTTCTGTATGCAAACATCACACTCCCTTGTTTTAAATTCAAGGTATTCATGATAAACCACAGACAGGCAGAGAACAGAGCTTGCATAACCTTACATAGCAACAGGGCGCTTTTTGCCAGTACCACTGAACTGCTCACACATATTCATCCTACACAGGATACGCAGCAATGAAACACTGGAGCCTTTAAATGAAATCTAATACTATTCCCATATCAGGTCATGCCTCTGTACTGCTTTTCCACCTCACCGTTGCACACATACCGCAGAAAGCAATTACTCTTTGTCAACGATCTAATCTATTGTTATGATGTTGGTGGAGAATCGAATGAATTCGGCTCTCAGGACCCAAAGGTAAACAGTACACTTCCTTTTTACGCCAGCACAGAGTGTTCTCATGCTTATTTAGGCTTAGCCGATACACTGATGGATGGATGAATAGATGGATGGCTGTAAAGACGACTACATGGAGAGTGAGAAAAACAAATAATGAGTGAAACGTGACAAATGTGCACATATTCTTTTCAGCGCTATGTTCAAACAAAGACGTTTATGGTAAAGCAACACCTCCGGGCAGCTATTTTCTATGCAGGTAACATATTTGAATTCAGCGATCAAATCTGATCAAATCATGCAAAGTGTCAAGATTTCTCCCATTAGTTTTTCTACAAGTGGTCCATTTCCTCCCTTTTATAATGTCTCTGGTTTAGACTACATTTATTCACCCCTGTGCATAATGCTGAACCTGACTGCATTTTCAGCATGTTTCACTTGCTTTGCCCTGCTGGGAAATGTGCCTGTGAAGTCATGGCAAAAAATAAGATGTATAAAATACATTCAGCAGAAAATCAGCTGCTGTAATGATAACACTCAGCGACTAAGTTCTTAAGTGGGACAACAAAACTGTTTATCTAAATAATTCCAAACTAACATGGGAAATCTACAGATAAAAGCACCAAACCTATAAGATTGGATTCATGTGAACTACTATGAAAACATGTAGTTGTTGTACCTATAATGACCCTTCAGTGGTGTAACCTAATGTAGTCAACTCAAATTAAACAATGTTATATTGTTCACTAATTATTTTAAAGAAATTAATTATTTAATTCAGCAAGGATGCATTCAATTGATCAAAATCACAAAAAAACATTCTATTTCAAATAAATTTCAATTTTAAATTTCAAATAAATGCTGTTCTTTAGATCTTGATTTTCATAAAACTATCTTTAAAAAAAACTGTTTTCAACCGTGATAATAACAAATTAAGAAAATTAGATTGATTTCTGAATATCATGTGACATTGAAGACTGGTGTGATGGCTGCTGAAAATTATTTCAATAAGAAATACAGAAAAATTGCATTTAATTGTGCAGTGTTGCCAGATGAAACACATTTAGGTTATTTTACAAGCATTTTTCATTGTAATAATGTAATATTTTCATATCCCCATCAAAAAGATTTAGCTTAGATTTGTATTGTAAGCTTGCATTGGGATATGATCTCTGATGTAATGGAATAGGACAAGAACAGTGCACAACAAAGCAATAAGGGATGCATCTTCATCTCATAAACAATCTATAACAACATCTTGTTAACAGTATTGAGGGAGTAAAGCCAATAAGCTTGGAACGCTCTGCTCACATGGGGGTCGGTACTGTATGCACGACTGCTCAAAAGGAGGTCAATCAATTGGTTTGACACCGCACGGTTCAGTTTGCATCTGCTTGATCAGTGCAGACATAAAGAATATTCCATAACCACAGGGCACATGAGCTGTACTACCAAAACAGAATGACTCTTTTTCTGTAAAAGTGCCGGTAACTGCATAACTACTCAGAGTGGCTGCAATGTGTCTTGCAATGCAGCTTTAGATCAAATGCAATAGATCAATTGGTGGCGTTGCATTTCACATAACCAGAGGGAACAGCACATTGTGCGTTCATCACAGTGAATGTGTGCTCAGCTAACTGTGAGTTGAGTCAGACTGCTACATCCTGGCACTGAATGACTCCTCTGTTCAGGCCCAAAATGATTTCCAAGCAGTCTTAATGCAGTGCTTTCTAATGTATGGATAGTTTGACAGTGGAAAACAAAATGAATTTGTGAAATCATAATATATTCATGACAAAATGCATCAGTGAGAATATTGGAAACACTCTCATGCATCAAAATCTAGCTTGACTACAAATCAGAAATTACATTCCAGCATAAAAAGTAATGTTGCGTGAATATCAAAACTAAAAAAAGATGCAAACTGGATTGTGTTTGCTTTAGAACTGAATAATGAGCAGCACGGCAGCATCACATTGAGGTGTTTAGCCAAAGCTGATCAAGTCATATATATTCAGCTCATGCCAACATGACACCACAATGCTGCGTCCTCACCCTCCTTCCGTGCCCGCCTGTGCTGCATTACTTCTGGCTGTTACCCCAGCGAGGAGTAATGTCAGTACACAAGGACAGTTTTCTCTCATTCATGGGCCTGACAGCACTACCAGCTAATGCACATCCCATCCACTGCCACTGGACTCCACTTTTCTCAAATTGCACTGTATATATGAATAGAGATGTGCTTTACGCACTCTGTGACAGAGGGGAGACTGGGGTTGGTTGTCATATGGGGACATTAGTAACTTCAAAAATGTGCTTTCTCTAGCAGTGGATTCAGAAAGCTAGCTTAAAATCTGGAGAATGAGAATAATTTTACAATTCCAATATATATTTAAATATAATACAATAATACAATTCAAAATAAATGTCATTGTATTTCAAAATGTATTTTATTTTCACGATAGCATGAACATATTAAGAAGCATTTCTTATTATTATCAATGTTGAAAACATTTATGCTGCTTAATATTTTTGTGGAATATATGTATGTACTGTATGTATGTATGTATGTATGTATATATACTGTATAACTATATAATATTTTATATGTATTTTATATGTATGGAGGGCCAAATTACTCAAAATTAAATCATAAAATAAATGTTGAAATATATAAAGAAATCGTTAAATACATAATTAAATAATAAATGCATAAATGCATAAATATTTATTCATTTATTTATTTATTTATTTATTTATTTATTCGTTCGTTATTTCGTTCATTCATTCATAAATGTATTAATTAATTTCCTCCACATTATATTTTTCAGGGTTGCAGTTGTCGGGACGTGCAAAAAAATGAATGAATGAATGAATGAATGAATACATTAATTAATTAATTAATTAATGAAGGAATGAATGAATAAATAAAGGAATGAATGAACAAGTCAGCATTTATTTATGCATTTAATTATGTATTTAACAATTATTTAAAACCCTATAACAGGCTATTAATTGACAACATGCCCTGTTTGTTAAAGTTGGATAAAAAATAAAGTTGGAAATGTTCAGTTCAGTTCAGTAGCTTTGATGTAAGCAAGACATTGGTGTCTATACAGAAAATTAATGAACATACAAAAAACCTATTCTGAGAAATATTAATGTGTGACTACTAGCCTCAATCTCTACTACTGCCTTTCTGGGATTAATCATGCGTATCTACCAGACTATTTATCCATGGATCTGTAATCCCACAGAGCTCTTACCTTCAGTCAGGCCTATGTTGATGCTCCAGTAACTCTGCAGACACTGCATTTCCTTCTTCATTCCCCTCTTGCAGCGGCAGTCGAACAGAGCCATCTCCTGCAACACTTCCAGGGCTACCTGGCAATCCTTATTGGCCAACATGGTGTTCCTGTCCTTGCCTGCCAGACACTGCCTCAAGATCCTGAAGCGATGGCTGCACTTTTGGTCCTGGTTACACTTCTCGGTGGCTCTTAAACAGTCCATTGACTCTTGGTGCCCAGACTCAGATAGAGTGGAAGAGCCTGACATGGAGAACACAAGCTCATCTATGAAGGAGGGTGGAGAGGAATGGAGGTTTAGGTATTTATTTATTTATTTTTACATACTGTATAGACTGATGCCCCACTAACACTAGTCGTCAACAGAATAACAGGATAAAAGTTTAACAAATCTTTATCTCTGACAAATGAATCTATAAAGACATCAGTGACTGCATCCACTCATTTTCTCATTATAAAATATTATTTTAGTCGATGACTAATACAGCCAAAGAGTGCAATTTGAAGATCATCAAGCCAGTGGCAATGGCCAGATGACTGTGAAACCATTTTAATGACTCACAAGCATCACTTGACAGCTCAGAATGGTGTCAAAGCATGAAAAAACATGCCTTGAAGAGTAAAATATCATATACATCACACAAAAGACTTCTAATTAGCATGACATGAGTCACCAGTAAATAACAGTCTTTTTTAGTATTTGTTAAAAATGGATTTAATTGGCAGCTGGCAAATGCTCTTTATACTTTCCTCATATTAATGCTTTATTATTGCTTTTTTCACAATATTAACCTTTTACACTTCTTTCAATGTGCTTTGAGAGCGACAGATAATTTTTTGTGTATGCAAATTTTTTTTTGGTCATGGGATCATTATAACGGAGGTGCAACCCACCAGTGACACCTACAGGTGTAAATACATCAGCATGCTTACCAATCTCTTGTATTTTTTTCTTAAAACTGTTCAGAGCACATCAGAACCAGAACGAAAGATTCAGACACACCCTTGGACAACGAATCACTAACGAATGCTTTGCGTATTTTTCAGAAATAAAAACACTGAGAAATACGGCAAGATGCTCTAAGAATGCAAATGTGAAAGAACAAAATCTGAAAGTAGTTAGATAACACTTTACATTATATTTATATTAATATTAGCTACTGTAGTAAGGACATTTCACATCATCACTTATAATAACACTGCAACATTCAAATTAATTTAAAGCATAACTGGCGGTTGAACGTCTATATCAGAATGTCTGAATGTTTAATATGTTCTGCAGACTCTTTAAATATTCAGCTTAAGTTTCATCATATGGTGCGCAGAAAGGATCAAGTCTTGTCAGCGTGCAATGGCCAGTGATAAATCTACAAAGTGACCTTGATAAATCTCACCTTTCCTATACGGTGATTCATTTTCTATGCACTGACTCTTAATGAATGGGATTTGAACTATAGGACATTAATTAGATAACAATTAGCCGTCATGTAAAACTATCAAATAACGTGATCAGTTACCTTCATTCAGAAGGAATGAAACGCAGCTCATGTTACTTGCATTACATAATTACCATAAATTTAAATATGCGAGTTTCATGAAGTGACAAGTTCATATGTCTTCAATTCCCATCTCCATAAATGAAAACGTGAAATGTAATGAATGAATATCGTTGTTTTTCTGCTCGTTATCGAACTTGACCTCATCATTTCACATAACTTCATAAACTATCATGGTATCAGATATATAGGCTAATGTAATTCCCTAATTTCATTATCGTATTCGCTGGAGGAAAGTCAATTTAAATAAAATTAACCTAAAGATTCGATTAAATTAAATAGCACGAGGAGATTTTGCTTTCAGTTGGTCTAAATAAAAAGGCTAAATCTCGCAAAAATGCTGTGAATACAAACAAAAACTTACCTAAAAGGAGCAAAAAGCCGTAGATATAGATATACATGTTTCTGTTTCTGATAGAGAGTCCGCGTGCGTTAAAAGGTGCCGTTTGTGCTGTCATATGTTCCCTCCAAATGACTGTATTCTGCTTAGTCCTCTTAAAATACCGATGCTGCTCTAAACGCTCTATGACCTTAAAAATCCCAAATTGTATCCAGCGTTTGTCGGACCATGATTATTTTTCCCGTCTAAATAATCCAAAGCCTCATTTAAAGAGGGAAAAGTTCTCTGTTCCGCTCAGGAGGGGAACTAACCCCAGGTTTCCGTAGGAACCGTTTATTAGTGGTGGTTTCGTGTGGACAGACGCATATTTCCCAATGCTGATGTTCTAATATCGCAAAGGACGCAAAATAGCAACGTCTGGCTCACTAAAGCAAAGCTCCTCTATAGGATATTCCCGCTCCCGTTTATCTCCGAAATGAAATTCCCAAGCAACAGCAGTGAGAAACTTCAGACGGCGGAGCTCTGCGGACAGACTTCTGTCTCTGGCGGAGGCAGTTCGCTCCTGCGAAGCGAGACATAAGCGAGCGCACGTGCCCCCGTTACGCGCTCCAGTCCACATGTTAAATGATCCGACGACGGATGGGTTAATCAAAGCGCGCACAAACAGGGAGTCGAGCTGACTCAACACACTATGGCTAATTAATAAGTTTTAGGGCAAAGGATAAATGCAACTTTTGACAAGAGGTCAGTAACTGCTCTTGCAATTGTGTAACTACTATACAAATGGAAAGATACCCATCTGTGAGCATTCAAGAAAGACTTATGGTCTCACCGCCTGGCTAGGCTGATCTGTGGCTGGTTTTAAAGGGGTTTGGGGCAATTTTCAGCTCCTCCGGCTGGATTAAAATTTACCAATAAGATAAGTTATGTAGGAACAGATACTTGTATCATGAGTTTGAAGATTCACAGGTCTCTAGAGAGATGTCATATCATCATCATCATCATCATCATCATCACAAGTTAATGCATGTAATCATCTGATATAACTAGTCACACAGTGTGGGAAAACATCATAATTAGGCTATTTGCAAGTCTGATGTAAATATTGCAGGGAGACGAGAACCTGACGTCATGTAAAATGTGCCTGCATTTCTAGAAACAGGTGTTTATTGGTTCTGGTTACGCTAATATGGATTTCACAAGTCAGTGAACCCTGGCCAAAGACAAGAGTATAGTTTGTTATTCCTTGGATGACTCGGCAGTGTTTGGTTATACTAAGGAGTCAAGGTTTTGCAGCTTAACATGGCCCTGTTAGGCCCTGTTGGTAGATAATAAATAATCTTTAATCATGTGAAATGGACATTTATTGAATTTATTTTTGGAAAGAATTTATTTAGAACATTCTTGGTGCCATCATCCAATCACAATTGTCATGCCGGCACTATCCTGTATCTATAGATGCATTTGGTAGCATTTACTGTCTCGCTTCGCTATTGGACTGATTTCACACAGGCTTCAGTACGGTGTTTCACCGAGGGCATTCCCAAAGCGTTCGACGCAGCTCGAGTTCCTGAAGGGGAACCACTAGTGTGCTGTTTCTTTAGAGAGTGTGTGCTCAGATTAACCTCTCCAGCAGCAGGCAGCATATGCGGTGTACAGTCAAAGTTATTGTTCATTGCCTGTTCAATTACTCCCATCACAGAGAAGAGAAGTTCACGAGAACAAACATTGGCTGAAGGATTAGAGATAATAATGCTAAAATACCCTCTTAATGTCCTAAAATTTCATAAGATAAGATGGAATTTCCCAGTGTTGTGGGAGGAAAGGCTGCTCATCAAAGGCCATATAGATCACTTGGCATAATAGTCTCACTGTATGTCACTGGCTGAACACATTCCAGACCGCTCATTAATCACAGAGCAGCTCTATTGAAAGACAAGACAACGGACTGGTGAAAAATGACCCGGCTATAAGTTGATGATGAAGACTTGTACATGTTGCTGTCAAGCCCCTTTTTCTAATACTCGAGTTGTCTTCCAAGTTCAGTCGCAAAAGTGTCATGGGTTCAGCCTGACTGATGGGCCGGCTGTCACTCTAGGATTTTGCTCTTTTCACAGATTCTAGCAATGAGAAGCTAAAGCTGGCATGGCCGGTTCTGGGTTTGGACCTGCTGCATCATCGTTCATCTGGTTTTTGATGTTAATTACTGTCTCTTTTCAATCCCTCTGGTGTCTAATCTGTCAGACTAGCAGCGCCCTTGGTTAGGCCAATGTCCTTCATTTCAGCATGGTAAGAAACCCCACCGATTTGGTGCCATTAAGCTTCTGTTGGGTCTAGTGAGCCACCGAGCCAAATTTAGACCTCGCCAGCAGACTCACAAGGGGATTACACACCGCCAAGAGGGAAAGTAGATGTTCTTTGATGTTGCAGAAAACACCTTCTGGCTGTATTGCAGTATTTGTGGGGAATCGGTTTTATTATATTTCTATAGTGTGTTTTGGGGTGCGAATGGACTTTCAGCTTAATGGCAAAGCTTGTTTACAAGCAGGCACGCTCAGTGAGAATTTCCAAAAATGTAGTCGGTGCACTGGGAATAATCTGTTGTATATTAATGTTGGAACAGCTGCTAGCAGGCCAGAAACGTTAGCGATGCTAGCGGCATCCCAGTCAGTGGGTTAGTTTAATCTGCAGATAAGTAGGAATGTTTGCAAAATGCCTTTGGTTTGATATCAAATCTGTGTTACACAAGCTTTTGAAAGCAGATAAAAATAGAGAGCATGTAAACAGACACCCGTATTCCTATGTGTATCATATTTCTTAGAAATATAATCATGTCTAAGCTGTAGACCTGCCATCATCCCAAAGTCATTTATAGAGGCCTTGTCAACTATCCATATATGGGTCAATGATGTCCAAAAACAAGACAAAAAAAGTAATTTAAAACATCGAGTTGAAAACAAGTTCCAACAGTTGTTAGAAGTGTACAATTTGTAGTCGTGTTGGAATCATGTGGTTTTCAAACACTTTTATACCATTTTCAAGAAAAAATGAACTGAATGACTTCAAAAATAGCATATGATGTAACCAAGTGAAAAAAAGTAAAATATTTCCTGTATGCCTTGAAAACATGTAAAAAAAAAAAATCTGGCAGAAATGAGTGCCTAGGAGAAAAGATGCCATATTTCAAACTGCATACTGTACGTCTGGAGGGCCATGGACCAGCTGAGCTGGTGTCATTGAGATAAATGGGAGTGTTAATGGATGGCTTTCAACAGGTCTTACTGACCTCCTTGAGTTCTAAGTCACTTATAGGGTTATAATAGCTTTTAAAATTTCTACCGATTCTTTCTATGACATTTAAGACTGGTAAACAAAGATGAAAGAGGTGAGAGTAAAGGAGAAATGTCAGTTTTAGTCTAAGAGTCCAAGTAAGTGACACCATTACCCAATTTTATTGGACCAAACGGCCAACAATACAGTGCAAGACTTTATACCTTTATAGACTTGCATAAAAAATACCAAAAAATATTTTTCCCCCCACATACAGGTATCTCTCTAAATAGTAATCTGTGTCTGTCCTATATGGCACCTTCAGTGATCTCCTTAACCTCAAAGGTCAAAGGATCTTGACAACAAACCACTGCTTGTTCACTCAAGGCATTTATAATCCGTATGTACAATGGAAACACAATCTTACGAAAACGACTTTAAAAGTAGTATTATAATGCATTTTATATGCTTTTAGATATAATAATACAGACTTCTAAGTATTTTAAGTGAAAATACAATTTTTGTCTCTCAGATCAGGGCAATCTCCTAAGGCAAGTGTCACTCTGGCAACTTTTATCCTGTGCTACTGAAATGTCGATGTTGTGACATTTTTCGCTTCAGAGGATTCCTCTTAAACTCTCACAAATCTTCAGACACTATTACAAGTTTGAATGAGACAAAACACTAAAGTGTGTTTAGCTTCATCGTATTTGATCTTATACTAATACAATCAAAGCTGTTTTTCTTTTGTTGTTGTTACCATCAAATCCAGTGCACATATAGCAATTTTAGGATACTTGTATGTGTTTTTGTCAGTTTTAGAGCCTTAGTTTGGACATTCAACTCCTTTCAGGTGCCACATACAACCAAAACGTGATTAATTAATGAGCAATAATAGAACTGTCATTAATTTCAGTTGAACATTTTTAAGTTTATCCTTGGATAAAGTGATTAGACAAGTTTGAAATGGGAACTAGAGCAATGTTTTAGTGGTGCAGAGTAAAAACGTCTCTAGGTTACGTATGTAACCATGGTTCCCCGAAGGGAACGAGACGCTGCGTCGAACGCTTTGGGAACGCCCTCGGCGAGACACCGTACTGAAGCCTGTGTGAAATCAGTCCAATAGCGAAGCGAGACGTCACGAGCGGGGTGACGTAAGCAGCCAGGAAGCATAAAGGCACATCCGGCCAGCGCGGCTGTTAGCTTCTGCGGAAGCGAGCGCCTGCAGGGATGCAGGGAGTATGGCAGGGAGACGCAGCGTCTCGTTCCCTTCGGGGAACCATGGTTACATACGTAACCTAGAGACGTTCTTTTGAACTTTTTATTCATAAAAAATCCTGAAAAAAGATGGCAGTTTCCACAAAATATTTGAACTGCACAACTGTTTTTAACATTGGTAATAATGGGAAATATTTCTTAAAAACTTTCTTTAAACTATGTTAAAATAAACATTTATTTAAAATTGTAATAATATTTTTCAATAATACTGTTTTACACTCTAAAAAATGCTGGGTTAAATACAACCCAGTGCTGGGTAAAATAGGGACAAACCCAGCAATTGGGTTGTTTTGACCCAGCAGTTGGGTTACTACCCAGAAGGTTGGGTTAAACATTTAACCCAACCGCTGGGTCAAAACAACCCAATTGCTGGGTTTGTCCCTATTTTACCCAGCACTGGGTTGTATTTAACCAAGCATTTTTTAGTGTATAGTCAGCATTATGATTTCTTTTGAGACATCTAAAAATTATTTCTTATTATATGTGATCTCTTGTCATTTTATTATATGTATGGTTATTTTACAGTGCATGAAAAATTAAAACCATATTGATGATTAAATTAAACTGTGCTACAACAAAGCCATAAACATCACACTCTAAAAATGCTGGGTTAAATATAACCCAGCGCTAGATTAAAAAGGGACAAACCCAGCTATTGGGTTGTTTTGACCCAGCGGTTAGGTTCAAAACATCCCAACCGCTGGGTCAAAACAACCCAATTGCTGGGTTTGTCC